CACCAAGTCAAGGGTTAAGATCCCCTTACCGGTCATCTTTTAAAAAAAAATTTTTTTAAATTAAATAAAAATAAAAATGGTTAAGATGGCTTCCAAGGCGAGGAGTCAGCCCACGGGGCGCACAGGTGCAGTGTGGCTTTTGATGGCATCTTATGGACAGTTACGTGGGATGAAAACGGTTGCTGAGGTCCCAAAGGCGCGCCTCTCTCCAGCCATAGGCACGCAGGCACTAAACAGAAAGCTGGACGTTGAAAGGGTGTACGGTCTGACTTGTCTGGACCACCTTTATTTTTTACCACTGGCTACATGTTTTTCTCCGGGGATGGCTTGGGTGCAGACTGGGGAGACCTTTTAAACAAAGGTATGAAAAGTCTGCTTGGACACAACACATGGAGCAAGAAGTTTTAGGCAAAAGGAGTGGGAATTCGGGTCTGGGGTGGTGCGGGCAGACCACCTTTCCTCCTGAAAATCTCGAGGGCTTTAGGACTGCAGCAGGCATGCAGTTTACCCACTGAAAGGCAGCTGGATGGAAGTGCATAAAACAGAAGATTAAGCATCTTTTATTATTATTATTTTTTCCTTTTTGTCTTTTTTTTTCGTGACCGGCCACGGATCGCAACCCTCAATGTCGCGCCCGCACTGGACCGGGACCTGCAACGGGATCGCAACCCTCAGTGCTGCCCCCGCACCTCGCTCAGCCAGTGAGTGGCCGGTCTGTATGTGGGATCCGAACCCTCGGCGGGAGCGCTGGCACGCTCCCAAGCGGCGCACTGTAGCAGTGTGCCACTGGGCCGGCCCCAGATTAAGCATCTTTTAATTGTAATGTTTCTGTAAACCATGAAAGAAAATGGCTAAGATGGTAAAATTTCTGTTACTATGTATTTTACCACAATAAAAAAATTGAAATAAGAAAGGAATGAAATCCTGACAAGCTACTGCCTGGATGAGCCCTGAGGACACTATGCTGAATGAAACAAGCCAGACACACCAGGACAAATACGGTCAGATTTCACTCACATGAGGTCCCTGGAGTAGTCAAATGCATAGACAGGAGGGAAAGCAACGGGTGCCAGGGGCTGGGGGAGGCCCACAGGGAGCTGGCGTTTAGTGGGGACAGAACTTCAGTTTGTGAAGATGGAAAGTTCTGGAGATGGACGGTGCTGACAGCTGCACAACATTGTGAATGTACCTGAGGCTGTTGACCTGTGCACTAAAAATGGCTATGGTGATAGGTTTTATGTTATGTATATAAATAAATAAATGCATACGCACACACACACACACACACACACACACACACACACATATTACACAATTTCAAAAAAAGAACAGAAAAGAAAAAAAAAAGAATGGTTAAGAAAAATGACCAGAGAGCTACAAAAGTGACTCCCCCACCCCCCACCCCGCGCCC